ACACTCACCCCCCTCTTCGGCGATTCAATTCGGCGCCAAATTTCAATTCAAGTACTAATTCAACAAATAATGATTTGTCTTATGATTTAAACAAAGACTCGAAGTCTATTGAATCGATTGCCGAACAATCGGATAGTGATAGCGATTTAGATGTGGAACCAAATTATCCGATAAAATAGTTTCTTTATTTCAATTTAATCATTGATTTACATATTTTACACAAAAGTAATATTGCTTTCAAAATTTGATTATTACTAAAACAATTACCAAAAAAGTATAGAATTTAGAAGTTAACAAACAACTCATTATTCTTGAGTTTTTCTCCTCTTTTCAGCCAATCTCTTGGATCGCCTCAAACCAGTCGACAGACAGAACTCGGAGTCGGTGTCCGTTTCGCTGTCGTTATCGTCCGCGTAAAACCACTTGATTATAGTCCCGTCCCACTAATCCACCAATAAATACATTCACATTATATATCATTTAAAAATCCGTTTCAATATATCTTACGCTCGAAGACATGAGTGTCATATCGTACGGATGGAAGGAGACATCTGTTTGTATAAAATGTCATTTTAATCAATAAAACCAATCATTTATTTATCAATTGCTAAGTAATTCAACGACAAACCTCTGACACAGCCTTTATGTCCGCTCAGAGTTTTGACAATTTTTCCCGTCAGCACATCGTATATGACTACCTTTCCAGACGAACAGCCCGTATATATATACCGCTGACCAGTACTCCATTCGGGAGAGAAGTGACACCTTTATTGACAAATTAGTATTAATTAACTAACAGTTCCTCAAGTGTTAATTAATAAATATAATACCGAATAAGAGTTTGAAGAACAGAATGGCCTAAATATCAAATAAAAATATTAAATAACATTTGATAAAGTATTAGGAAATGGTATCAACAAAACAATATATACCCATATATGTCATAAGGGAAGTGTCGCCTTCAATCTTCTTTCGGTTCGTCAATACTTTAAATTAGTTGTAATTTAGTTGTTATCATAACATAGACTCAATATTAAATAAAAATAAGTATACATTTTCTGGGGATAGCCTGCCATCGATAGTCCCAATTCTGTTTGGAAACAGCTCTTCGTGTGGCCTCAGAACCAGTTTGTGGCGAAAAACATCTCATATCCCAGAGTTTGATTGTCTGATCCTTACTATTGGTAATAAGATGTCGGCCATCATTCTTAGAGTCGATATATGTAATGCCGTCCACGTGTCCCGAAAGGATACCCACCGGTTTAGGGCTCGACTCGTTTAGTGTTCTTCTGTCCCAAACCTTTAAACAACAATTTAATTTAATAACAAGAAAACTATGAAAACAAAGCACTCAATTACTTTGCAAAGACCGTCATCTCCGGCACTAAACAGAATTTGAGAGCCGGCGTCGGCGAACGCAACTGAGTTGACGTCGTCCTCATGGCATTGGATCTTAAGGACCCGACTCTTGCGTTCCCTATTGTAGACGTAAAGGCACTCGTCGTTAGCGCCGCCCAATATCTCGGAGCCGTCCTGAGAGAAGCGCAAAGAAAATATACAAAAGCGTCGATCGTCTGGAGAGAGCGATAAAGCCTCGTGTGTTTCGGTGTCGCCATAGATATTGCAGATATGGACTGAAAAGAGACAGACATTGCGATTGAACACGAGTTTGCAAAACATGTATTCAATACTGACTGCATTCGGACCAACTCGAGTATATGAAATGCGTTCCGTTGGGACTGTTGTGTCAATTCAATCACATATTAATTACAATATAAACTAAACCAAAAACTACTGTCCATACCTAAAGTCAGTGTCGAGTACACTCCAGCCCACATCCCGAGCCCACACTGTTTTAAATAGTTTGAATTTGTCGCGTCGGGTGTCGTATATACGTATGTTTGTGTCCTGACATGCAGTCAGAAACAGATCACCGCTTTTTGAATGAAAACCGCAAAAAGCTATTCATAAATAAGAAATAATGAATTCTGGTTCGAGACAACTGTATTTGGATNTCGTATATACGTATGTTTGTGTCCTGACATGCAGTCAGAAACAGATCACCGCTTTTTGAATGAAAACCGCAAAAAGCTATTCATAAATAAGAAATAATGAATTCTGGTTCGAGACAACTGTATTTGGATCACCTTTGCTGTGGTACTGATCGACAGTAAGCTTTCTATTGGGCAGAATTGTGTCCGAGAGTCGGCACCGGTCTCTGAGACCAAAGGCATGAGCATTCACTCGGTCTCCGCTATCAGTGACTCCTATTTCTCTGTTGCGAAACAATTTAGGAATCGGTGGCAAAGGCTTGTCGGACGACAAACCGGTCTGCGATCGCAATAAAAGCTTGAAATCACTTTCATCTATGCCTGAAGTGTCCGGATTTGGGACGATATTCACTGCAATCAAATCAAACGCTAATCAAATCAATCGCTTTATGGCACAAAAAGGTGTCTTACGGGCGGGTGTCGTGTGTTTACGGCTCGACGTCGACCGATAGACATAACCGGAGTCATCGGTGGTGTCGGAGTCGTCGTCGTTGTCGTTGTCAGAACTGGAAGACCTGACGAAC